CACTTCTCAATTAAATATTATCATGTTTTTAGGGCATGAATCTGAATTGAACAACCTGATAATGCTCACTCTGGTTATTTTTTCCGCTTTTAAAAGCGCTATATGTTAAGCACACCTCATGTGACATTTGCCATGTGACATTTTTAGCAGCAATCATTGGTCGATTTTCTAACGTTGCCATTCGGGGAGTTGTAATGAGGCTTTTTTTTGGTGCCGTGTAAGAGAAATATATATATAGATAGATACTTCTTTGACTTCACTGCTTGTTTCCACTTAAGAATTCCAAAGCTTAAGGAAAATTTGATGCAGATGTATAGTTGTTCTTTATTTATCTTCTTAAAATCATTTTAACAATAATCTCTGGAGTATGTAAAAATAAATAATAAAATTCAATAAATACGAATAATAAAATATAATAAATTCCAATAATAAAATTCAATCAATCTAATAAATAATCAATAAATTCTGAATTTTGATTTCTCCCCGTATAAAATTGTGCTAACTAATATTTTTAAGTTTACGATAAAAAGTTAATATTGAAAGTCTGAAATCTTATTCTTTTACATGTAGCATGACTTTCTTGATGGCACTTAACTCCTTTGCTGATTGGTATCCAAGTTTGTCGGTTTAAAATAATAAAATTAATAATAAAATAAAAGTTCAGTAGGAATATAAAATTTGACTACAACTTAATTGAAAGCATTATTAGTTATCTTGTTCTTCCAAAAGCTGCAGATATACCGCAATAATGAGGAAAAATGCCTTGAAAAAAAAAAAAAAGATTAGTAGTAATACGATATGCATTTCTAAAGACACAAACCACAACTATGATATTTCAGAACGAAAATTTATAGTTTTATATGAAATGGTAAACACAAATACTTTAATTTTTAAAGGTAAATGCCGAAAGGAAAATCCATGCTTGTTTGTTTTTTTTTGTTCTTGTATTGTTCGTAGAAAGAGAATAATGAATTCATAGAGGAACCTTTCTTCAAAACAGGCCATCCGCAGTAGTCTTCAAACTGATTGTAAATGTCATGGAGTGTCTGGCTCTTGCAATATCAAGACTTGTTGGAGAGCATTGCCGAGGCTGTCAGAGATAGGAGAACGTTTGAAAAGAAAATACTATATAGCCACAGAGGTGAAACAGCGCCAAATCGGATCGAAACATAAACTTTTACCAGCCAATGGCAAATTGTCGATGTACCAAAAGAATGACTTGATCTTCGTCGCGAAGTCTCCAGACTATTGTCTCAGAGATGACAGAGTTGGATCGATCGGTACTCGTGGGAGGTAAGATTTTTTTTTTTTTCATTAAGAGAATTGTATTTTATAAATAAGTTTTCTAGTTAGATGCTACTCATAACCCACTGCGTTGCCTACCGTACATAGCAGGAAAGAAATTTGAACGTTCAAAGCCACATGAACCCTGCATGTCATTCGTGTAAGCATATCTTTGGTGATTTTGGATCCTCTCTCTAAAGACAACATTACAATCTCATCCCATGTGCTTACGCAAGGGTTTGTGCTTTCTCAATTTAAACGGAATTTTTTCCAATTTGGGGACTTAAGTGTCTTACGTAAATGTTGCCCACAAACCCTTTGCCTATTTAAGTACTTATGCAATATTTGAGCCATCTCCACTATACTTTTTCTTTTTGTTCGCAATTTTTCCTCACAATACCATGGGCCTTCATCTTTTTCTTTTGCCTTCTGGTGCATATGTCAATACGACTGATAGAATTGTATCCAGAAGCTTTCTTAAAATGTGGCCGATTCACTTTAACCTTCTTCTTAGCTTGTTGTTCTTGCTGTGTCTTGGTCTGAGTTTGAAATAATTGGTGGCCATAATATCTATACAATTTTTTTCAAGCATCTATATTTCCACGTATCTCATTTTTACATTTGTTGTTGGGTTATTTTCCATGCTTTAGTTCCACATAAAAATGCATTTTTTGTAACGTTGAATAAAAAAACAATAATTTTTTCTTTAACATTAAAATATTTAATTTCCAGACTTTTTATAACTTTTAAAAGAATTTTATACTTTTAAAATTCTTACGATTGACTCAATATCAGTTATCCTTTTCTTGTCCCTAGCTTTCTATAATCTGTTAGCACAGTAAAGACACGAGTTACTCAAAAATTGACGGGTAGCTCATTGTGCGACGTAAAAAAAGTACCTACCAGCCAAAAATTGATGCAAACCGGACATTAAGAAAAATCAAGAATGGAGCCTACGACAAACTGTTAAGTACCCTCTTGCAGTAAATGCTAAAAATATGCATGACCTCCAGTACCGTCTTTACGCATGGGCACACCCGGGCAGTTCCCGGGGGGGGGGGGCTTGAGAGTCCTAATTTTTATAAGTTGTATTAAAAATAAAACTAATAATGAACAACATTGCCTTATGTATTTTTCGAAATAAACATTGTATTAAGTGTGCATTTTTTTCTACAAATAGTAACTCATTATCATTCAAACACCAATAATTTGAATAGTTTATCACCAAGAAAACTTAAAAAGGCAACCAAAAATTCGTGAAAAGTTTAGGTACATTGAAAGATGTTTTAACAACAGTTTGACGAAATAATTCATACTTTTCGAATTTTTTTTTTTGATTTTTTATACCTTTATGTTTATTCAATTTAATTATTTTAATTAACTTCCATAGTTTTGAAAATTATTTTATTGGTTGAGGATTACAACTGGTTAGCATCTCATTTTTTTTAAACAAAACTATGCATAGCTTTAGTTGAGTTTTTTGCGTAATCATAACGTGTTTAAATTTGTCAAAATCATTGCATCATATCTTAAAAATGATTTATTTTATGTATGTGAAGTTTTCTTAGTTCGTTTTTAAATATTATGGCATGCTATATGGATCTGAAATATTTTTGTGCCCGGGGGCCCTGCATGCCATAAAGACGGCCATGATGACCTCACTCGACAGAATTTTAACCGGAAGAGAAGGAGAAAAGGAAAGGATGCAGTTTTTTACGCTGAATCAAATGGCACCAATTCCGGATAATCGAACTAGTTGACTAATTATAAGGGTTTTCTACACAAATAATACTTTGTACTTGAATCCATTTACGCATCTGACAATGCTATACTGCTGGCCACCGTAAATACAGCACCCTAAAGGATGCATGCAAATAACATGAAACTTACAACATGCATTAGAGGAGGTGAGATATGCAAATGATTAGAATTTTAGCGCAGACGCACATTACGTGCGCCTGTGTCGCCACTTCAGAGCGCTATTTAATGCTTGGAGATTTCGACGATTTCAAGTTCGGCAATTGTGTTTTTCTGTGGTTTTTTCAAAAAAAGATCAATTATGCCTCGTAGAAAACAGCGATCATCTTCTGATCAAGTATCCGAGTTCGACAGAGGAACGATAGTGGCTTACCGAGATTGTGGATTATCTTTCAGGGAAATCAGTAGTCGTGTTGGACGAAACCAAACAACTGTAATGCGGATATGTGATCGTCGGTTGCAGGAGGGAACGACGGACCGACGTGTTCGATTGCATCCACCTCAGTGCACCACTTCACGTGATGACAGGCGAATTGTGCGNTCTTTCAGGGAAATCAGTAGTCGTGTTGGACGAAACCAAACATCTGTAATGTGGATATGTGATCGTCGGATGCAGGAGGGTACGGCGGACCGACGTGTTCGATTGCATCCACCTCAGTGCACCACTTCACGTGATGACAGGCCAATTGTGTGCATGGCAGTGACTGATCGCTCAGTTGCCTCACAAACCATAGCACAGCACATTTAGTCTGTAACGCATCATCCAGTGTCTGCGCGTACCATTCGACGCCGTTTACAGCATAGAGGTCTACCCTTGACTCAGAACCATAGACGTCTCCGCCGCCAATGGTGCGATGAAAGAAGGATGTGGACGACAGAATGGATTGAAATTGTCTTTATTGACGAGTCACGCTTCTATCTGCAACACCACGATGGCCGTATTCGAGCCTGGAGACACCATGGAGAGAGGATGCTGAGCAGCTGCATTGTGCACCGCCACACTGGTCCTGCACCGGGTATTATGGCATGGGGCGGTATTGGATATCACTCTCACACTCCTCTAGTACGCATTGCCGGTACTTTAAACAGTCAGCGCTACATCTTCGAGGATCTGGAGCCAATTGTCCTTCCTTACCTTCAGAGCTTGCCCACAGCCATATTTCAACAGGATAATGAGCGACCACACGTGGCACGCATTGTCCAAGGGTTCTTCGTCACCAGATTGAATTGCTTCCCTGGCCAGCTCGCTCTCTGGATCTTTCGCCGATCGAAAACATATGGTCCACGATTGCTCAATGATTGACCCAGATTTCATCTCCAGCTGTCACACCAGATCAACTTTGGCAACGTGTGGTAGCTGCTTGGTTTGCTGTACCCCAAGAACACATCCAAAATCTCTTTGAATCAATGCCGAGACGTGTGGCAGCGGTGATCTCCAACAATGGCGGCTACTCTGGCTACTGATTTTGGCAGGAACCACACTTCGCAGAAGTGTATAAATTTAATCATTTGATACTTGGTCAACATGTTATCTACAAAGTGAATTTTGTTGTGATATCTAATCTCTTGTCTTTCTTGGTGTTGCAATTTGGGTGGCCAGCAGTGTATTTAAACACATGAGGCAATGTATTTCTTTATGTGGAATTAGATGAGACTAAACATGAGTCAATAGTTCAAAAGTTGCAAGTGTTTTTATGTACAGTACGCATAATAGAAAAACAGACCACCCTAAATAACTTTTCATATGATGATCACGTTCTAGGATTAATTCATAAGGGTTACTTAAATATGCTCATTAATTAATGCAGACGATATTTTAAGTTACGAAATCAGACACAAAAAAGTGCTTCCCCTGAATAAATATACTTTCTTTCCCGTCGGATTCTGATTTGTAACCCCCAAAATATATGGGGTATCCGCAATCTGGGAAATGTAGGTCCCAATAGTTTGATCGGGAGAGCGGTCCTAAGTTTGAACCCCTTAACGTTAATTTTTTATTTTACGTAAATCTCTATATCTAGAAAGCTATTAAAGCGAATTGAAAAATTTTGCTCTCTATAATAAAATCTCTCTGTCGAAAGATAATAGCATGCAAAAAATAACTTTAAGTAAATATTTATTAATTTTTTTAATCATATTCGGAAAATTTTTGTACTGAAACAATTTTTACATGACAAAATACAAAATTTGTGAGAAATCGATCGAATAGTTCCTGAGAAATCGAATTTTAAGGTTATCTGCCTTTTTTAAAATTTGATTCTTCACATAATCGTTTGTTTATAAAAGAGTAGGAAAGAATATCTCCATTCTTCTCTTAAGAATAAAACCGATTAAACTTATTAGTTTTATTTCAAACAGCATTATCAAAACAGTTAGAAGCAGACTCCAAAAGGGACTTACCCAATATTTAATCGAATTTCAAAATAGGTCTTACGAATATTTTCCCTTAACGTAAAAATATGAACATCACGAATTTTTGAAAGAAATATATTGCTTTCTTATAAAAAAAATGACATCTATAATTTTTATATAAAAAGAAGTTTTTAATAAAATAGGAAAGAAAAATTTACTTTTTATTTATTTATTTGTACTATATATATATATATATAATTTGGTTAACATTAGAAAAAGGAATGTCTCAAAAATCAAAAATAAAATTTATAAATTTCATTTTCANATATATATATATTTAAAACAGTAAGGAAAATATTATTTGTATACCAAATGGAGCGTCGGCTAACGATTTGCTGGTCTATAATTTAAAATTGTTATTTTTGAACAAAATATGAAAGTGCATATAATGTTTTGAAGTATAAATTACAATAATAGTTTGTAGATTTCTAATTATTGAAAATTTAATGGCATTGTACCATATCTAGTAACGGATTTGTCAACGTGGAATTTGACCATACTTCAACGTTAGAGAAATACAACTCATGATTATTTTTTTTTTCTTACATTTGATACTTCCTGAAAAGTAAATTACTAATCACCATAATGAGAAAGTAATTCTTCAAGATTCATCATTAGGAAGAATTAATTAGCTTACCTGTTATTTCACGAATTGCAATGACCTTCTAGGTGGTTAGAAGTTAACATGAAAGCTACCCGAAGTATTAATCACCAATTGAGCTGAAATTTTTTATGTAAATGCATTTTAAAGTTAATGTTAAATGAACGTTCTTCTGTTAATTTCGAAATAGTTACTGAAGTAATTTAAATCACCCAATTTTATCGCAAATATGACACCGATTTCAACTTGGGAAGCAAAAAAGCACTATTTGGCTGTTAAAAAGTGACTTCATTTAAGAATATTTTTTAATTCAGTAACAAGGCGTTTTAGAACTGTTTTATCGTTACCAATTTAAAAGAAAGAATCGAAAAGAATACGCCATATCATAATAATAATAACTATCCTAAAATTAGCATTAAAAGTTTACCACAACTTTCAAGTTATTTGTATAAAACAATTTATTATTTAAAAAGTTTCTCAACATTTCTAATTTTATTAAAATTGGAAACGTTTAAGAATAGTTGTATTTTATAATATCGTTTGTTTAAAAAAATCGTTTGCTTTTTTTTTTCGCTTAAGAGCATAATCTGTTTTTAATAAAATAAGGTATTAAAAACAATTTTTAATAACAATTTTTAATAACAATAACAAAACATAAACAGTAACAAATATAAACAATATGAAACTCTTTCGCAGCAATTATTAGGAAGCTATACAAAGTTTAAAACCTAATAATTAGTTAAATGGATGGAAAAAGTTGCAAAGGAAGAGAAATACAAAAGCAAAAAAAGTTACGATGGGGCGTTAAGATCGCTCGAATTTCCATCAGTTAAAACTCCTTCCAAATCTTTGCAATGAGCCAGTAGCTTATTTCTGGGCATGTCTTTTAGACCAAAAATATTATACAAAAAGCTGAAATAATTACTGTGAGTATTTAGCAAATTATATCTGGTTTCCAAGGCATTTATTGCTTGATCTATAGTGTGAAAAAAAGTATATTTTATATTTTTGATTGAGGTCTTGAACGGGTTCATCCGGGGCCTCATACAAAAACGTTCTTGTTTTGCTTCTGACACGATGACGTGGTGTGGTGGTTTCGAAATTAGCTTCCTCGTCAATCTCTGAAGCAAGCTCGATTGCTTCTAAAATGATGCTTTCAAAAGTTTCATCTGATCTCAGGTTTTTAAGGAAGAGTTTGCAGTTGCTAATCATGCCAATAGCTTGTGACATATCAAAATTTACAGTTTGCAAAAATTGGTGATGGGGTTAATATGACTCAAAATTTTGTACCAGATCACAACAGAGCATATACATTTGAACTGCTTCAAATTATTTAATAATCCGCTAGCCTCGTCTCTGATCATATTATCGATTTCTGAATCTTCATATATGCTGTACAAAACATCGTGAATTGGACCAATTTGAAACCACAGAGCTTTTAATGAGTTGACTCGACTTTCCCATCGCGTATCACTCAATGGTTTTAGGGTGTAAGTATCAATATATTTCCGTAATATTGCCCAACGAAAAGAAGAGGAAGAAAAAAATGTATATAACTTTTGAACAATATTGAAGAAGTTGGCTGCCTCAAAAGAGGATTTTGCCATATCGTTTACAACCAAATTTAGCGAATGGCTGCTGCATGGAACATAAAATGCTCTGGGGTTTATATTTCTGATTCTTGTTTGTACTCCCGATTTTTCTCCTCTCATATTGGAACCATTGTCATACCCTTGACCGCGCATGTTTTCTACTTTAAG